CTTTCTACCAATTTCCACCCCTCCCCCTCCAACTCCCCATCTTCTAAATGACTCTATCTTGGTATCTTTAAAAAAATCCTCCTTTCCTTCTTTTTCTATCTTTATTATACTTTCATCCCTTTCTCTCACTTTCTCTATCTCTTGTACACTATCTTTTCCTTCAATTTGCCTGTTTTTTTTTTAAGGGATATCCCTCCCCATCTCTCTCTGTCTCTCTCTCTATCTCTCTTTCTCCCTCCCCCCCCCCCTCTCTCTCTCTTCTTTTTTGTTCTATTACCAAACCATGAATAAAATATACATGGCCCTCTTCTTTATTCCATTACATTATGTAAGTTCTGTTCAAAAGTGCCATGCATCCTTCATGATAGGGCTTACATGTGTATGTGTAGGTCTGTTTTCACAAAATTAGAATTTTACACATCAATTGATGTACATTCAATCTATATGTCAATCTGTATGTCCATCAAATGTGCTTGAAGATACACAATGGGATGTTTGTATGAAACAAAAACAATGCCTCGATTCTAACATTTATCAGTGAACGCAGGTGGGCCTACGTTACATACCTGAACTTGAACACAAAGCACACTGCCTGGCTAGACAAGCATATAACTTCATAAGAAAATATGTCAAAATTGATATAATGACGTTATACTGAATGAAAATGTATTGTTACTGCACTGCTACATGTATACGCTTCAATAACTTTTAGATTTATTGAAACCATGGACGTGTTTGGAGCGCTGGAGCAAAATGTTTCTAATTATAGCAATGACAATAACTCACTTCTACCTAGGACATGCAACGGTAAAGGTTTTATAATGGATGGGGCATAGATGTGTTTATCCTCCTTGACAACAGTTTATGCAACAAAGCATTTTCTTTTTGGAAAATCAATATCCAGTTGATGTTCCTTATCATCTTCACCAAAACTGAATCAAACATACGGGACTACACTTTGGAAAGATAGGGACTACGTTTGAAAATCCTTTATTTCATGTTTAATCAAATTAATGTCGTGACTTCAGTCACTTCATGATAGATCAAAGATCTACATAAGGAGCCCTTGCTTCAGATTATTCATCCAGTGAACAACTAAACTTGATAAAGGCTCAATACATTTTATCAAATGACTTATATGTTACAAAATATTTCTTTTTTCTTTTGTTGCTACCTACAGACAACAACTTAACTATTTATACTCCTTGTAAATCTCATGTTTTTTGTGTGTTTTTTTTACTAAAGAATGAAAGGTGGACTAGTTGAATGAGGGCGAGAGGGCCTTTGTCAAATACTTTTAGATATAAGCTTTAATATACCTGTATATGTCACATTCTTAAGAAACATCAATTGGGACAATTCAGTTTTTCATACACTTAGCCTGCTTACAAAATTAAAAAACTTGGTAAGGGTATGAATAATTTAGTTGTTAACTGTATGCTGTATTTCATAATTGTCAGGTGGCAACTTCAGTGAAAATGTCTGACAAATTATTTCCCTAAATATGTCATTATCCACTTAATGAAAGCACCCTTTGCGGTTTATGACTCTAATTATTATTTCCTTGTTGTCTTCTCCAACATTCAATAGCAGGTATGTCCACGGTAAGTTTGCGGAGAGGTCTCAGTGGGTGATTCCATACCAAAAACACAGTCACACATGACTCACTTACTCGTAATAAACAGCATGTTGAGCATGAAAATGAAACCAGCTTGATTTCTTTGAAATGATGGAGTAAAATATGTGCTTGCAATATCTAATGTGCTTTGTAATTTCTATAATATGTGCTTTGCAATTTTCTAAGTCCAACTATATTCATTTGCTTTCAATTTGCTTACCCTGCCCACTCAGTATCTTGTACTCCTATACTCATAAATTTGTAAGAAATAAGGAAAATTACTTTGTTTTCTCTCTTTCATCCCACTCCCCTCTCTCTCTCTCTCTCTCTCTCTCTCTCTCACCCCTCCCTCCTTCCCTCCCTCTCTCTTTCTCTCTCTCTCTCTCTCTCTCTCTCGCGCGCTCTCTCTCTCTCTCTCTCGCTCTCTCTCTCTCTCTCTCTCTCTCTCTCTCTCTCTCTCTCCCTTCCTCCTTCCAGCACCACCCCTTCCACCTCTCTCCACTATAACCACAAGAATTTCACATTTTAGTTTATGCAACATTAAATTTTGTCAGATATTTAAATGTCCCCATGCATTGTGATTTACCTTGATTATAACCCTAAACAAATCGTCTCAATTGTCATTACTTGCAACAGTAATCAGTTCCTGTCTGGTGCTGGTCTTAGTCCACAATGGGTGAGGACTTTTCACAAAATTCTCATTCACAACACAAGTCACAAATGAGTTATTAAATACAAAACATTTTGACCATGTTTTTATTCCCTAATCACTTATAGAGTCCTTCTTAAAACCCTTATCCTTTAGATTCATTGTGTTAGGCTTTCAATAACTCTAATCTATTCTTAGTTCAGCCTTGTGATTTTGCAAATCTCTAAATCCTTAGAATAGGTCCCCTTAATAGCCAATATAATCGTATAAAATGATTTAAAATAGGCTTTTAGGGCTAATTCCCATAATACCCCAAATATTCCAGGATATCACACAAATTGGTAGTCATTGTGCAATGTAACTATTGCACTAATTAAGGATGCTTTTCAATCATAGAAACATATGTCGAAGGTTGTCTCTCTCAATGTGATTTAATTCAAAATTCGTTATTAAATTGATTATTTTGAACAGTTTGAAATGATCTATACAATCTGAAAGACATACTTGCCTTTTCATAATAATCCTTCATCACTAGGCACTAGCATTACTCATCATTTCCCTATATATTCTTGTAAATTAAATGCATAATCCGAATTTAAGTATAACCTTCCCTTCATTTTCCCTAACATACTGATTGTTAAAGATAAAGACCAGTTCTAATCATGCGATTACATTGTGAAAAAAACGTTGTGGAATCGCTCAGAAAAGGTTGATCATCTAGAATATACATGTAAGTATTGGCCAGTGTGTACTGCAAGGTTCTGGAATCATCAAAATGATAAGAAATTTGGCCCAGTTTTGGTAAAGTTACAAGCCCTGTACACAGAAAGACGTATATGGGAATACGCGACACGTGCGCGTCACTGCGCGATATTACCTTTCTTTACCTTTAAGAGTTCCATTCTCTCCACGTGATATTAGAAATATCTCAATATCTATTTAATAAGTTTTAGGAGGTTGATGTCCTGAGTTACCTAATAATCTTCTAAATTGGAGATTTTGTATTAAACCATCACAGTCGGTTGCTGATTCGTTGAAAAGTTATTCATGCATTATAACCCCCTTTAAATTCTCTTTTCACCCATGGCTATCCCAAAATCCCTCCGTCTTCTGTCTCTTCCCTGATTATTTTATCAACTTCTTAGTGACTACTTAAGAAGATGACTCATCTTTCTCTAAAGTAAAGACAAGTTTTGTTCAATTTCCTCCCAGCATAACTAATTTGTCATCTTTCATCATTTTAACAAGTTACCTCCATCTCATTTTGTGATCTTCAAATTCACCTCCTGCTTCTTGACTTCTTAAAACAGATAGGAAAAAAAATGCTGATTTTGTTTTGTTCTACTTTTCTCTAGTTCAGCATACATCAGTTCAACTTTCTTTTAATTCTTAAATAACTTTTCTGCTTCTTGATTACTTTTTTTTTTAATAAGAGGGGAAACAAGATGAATGATCACCCCAAACCTTCGCTTCCTTCCCCAAGCTAAGCTTTCTGACACAGTGCAAATAAATGTCACCTTGACCCGTTAAATACCAGTCTAAAGGAAACATCAGCCCCTGTAGAAGCACAGTTTATCCATCTGACGCTCAGGGGATGGCTAAAGAATACAGCAATGAAATGTCATCTACTTCAGATCACGTTCTCTGAGCGTTCTCCGAGCGTACCCCAATCGGGGTCAAGATAGCAAAGACGTTTTTTTAGCTATGTGTGTACACATCTTGAGCGCATGCATCAGGCCACGGAGGTGACAGGACGGCCAAGTAAACCAAGGGTATCAAGAATTATTCTTGCTCATGAATTATTTCAATGATGCATGGCTATTAGCATCATCCATTGTGATCTTGTTATCAAATGTTATATTTGAATTAAAAGGTGGATTCAATGGACAGGGGGGGGGGGTGAAGTGACAAGTGAAAACAACTTAGAGCAACTTTATATCATTAACAATTAGCAATAGTTCATAACAACTCATATCCCCCCCCCCCCTCCTTGAAATATTGTCATTTGATTTCAGGAATGGGTGTACATGTATGGACAACATCTCATATTTCTACACAGGAAATATTTATTTATAAGTTCTCAGCAACATGAATTTATAAAAATGCCAACATCTTCACACATACATACCCTTACGTCAAAGTCATGAACAACCTTTGGTACATGTATATGTAGTCTTCTAATATTATCAAGTAAGTCACATGAACCACAAACTTTAGAGTCCCAGTACCTTTTTCTTTTCTTGTTGCTAAGATTGCTATTTCAATGAATGTTCTTGCAGGTCTTGTATTTCTCCAAAAGATTCCCATCCCTATTTTATGCCCCATCATGTTCATGTTAGGCCCCAGACACTATATAGGCCTAGTATTCCATATGTGGCTGTAATCATAAAATATACTGCACCATTTTCAAGAGAAGAGAAAACAATTAGGATTGATATGATTCTATGATCAAATTTGAAGGAGGTTAAATCCCTGCACCTGTCCTTCTAACCTCTCTCTAAAAGAATCAGTCTTTGGGAACAAAACTGATCATTAACCACTCAAACGTTTTCCATAAATAGGATTGCAATATTACAGGACTTTGTTTTCAACCATTCCAGACTTTCAAGTGTCGATGATGTAAAAGATCGGATGGATGCATCAATACCTTATGAGAGATTCTTAGTCTCGTTTCACTTCAATCAGACCTTTCTTAATTGCTTCACACAATACTTCAGCGTAGTGTATACTTACATCTAAAACCACGATACCCGTTCCTCTACGTTTTTCTCTCTTCTTGCCGAACCTTCCTCCCTTTCCACCCTTCGCTCCTCCTCCTCCTGCTCCTCCTGCTTTCTTTTCTCTCTTCTTTCTCTCCGGCCTTCCTCCGCTCGCTCCTCCAGCAGCCCCCTCCTCGCCTCCTTCACCCGACCCCGATGCAGCGGCGCGTTCCCTTCTCCTTGCCGCTATTCGACTAGCGGCATTCGGCTCCATATCATCTGCCTCGCCGTTGTTTGCCATGGTTTTAATCCCTCAAAACAAAATACTGTGCTATTCCAAAAAGTTCCAAAGGGACGAAATCAGGTCGAGCAGACGAAGAAATTCGGGAAATTCCGCTGCCTTTTCCCCCGAAATCCGTTTATTCCTACTTCAGGCCTTTTACGGCCAAATTCCTAACTGGGCGATCCCGTGCGTACAACTTTCCGCACTCGCTGCTCGAATAACTCCACTACCAAGCGAGCGGGGCCACGAAACGGGATCTTTTGCAGACGACAGATTCTATGTTCAACGGAGCCGTCCAAAGTCCGCCGCGCTTTCAGAGAGCGCTTTTCTATGCAAAAGTCTATCCGTTGTGTACCCAGTTCGCATTCACAAAAGAAGACATTAAAAAGACGTGAATACTCTTTTACGGATTCTCTTTTCTTCCTTCTTTCTTCATGGAGACTAGAAAAAAAGCCTCTATTCACAGCTTGCTACAAAAACACCCCATTATTGAGGTATTCGTTAACCCCAAAACAACCAAGCCTCATGAATATAACCCAGGCTTATAAAACCAGGGGCTTTATACTAAACGTAAACATTAACACAGCAGGATTAACCTTCCGAAAGCAAACTTTGCCAAGTACACCCAAGTAACTGTCCTTCAGCTATTGTTCGCCGAAAATAAACTAAAGAAAATGCTATGTGATCGTGCAGCCTACTTTACATGACGGTTGTATTTTGAAAGTTTTTCACTTGTTTTCAGAACTTCGTTAGTGGTGGTAAAACGTGTCGGTTGTAGTGGTGGCGCCATTTTAGAATTTGCCGGATTCACAATAGAATGTTTCTCCGTTGAGAATGAGTTGAACTTCGAAGACAAAGGGTAAACAGTAAACTAATCTTTTTTTTTTTATATAATCCGAGCGAAGATAAATATTGACACCAGTATAGTTTTTGTCAGTGGATGTTAACTTTCAGAAGGTTTCATTGATGGTTGTAACAGTAACCTATTCCAATCTGGAGGCGGTGCCATTACTAAAATCACTAAATGAATAATCATCAATCATGGTTCCTCATTTTACCACCGAGCATTTACTGCTAGCACAAATATTATCTAGTTACTTTTCTATCTATAGTGTTATCTGATTTAATATTAGACATAGAAGATTCGATCCTTACTAGTACTTGCACAAACTGATTCATCATCATCCTCTTACCCAAACTCTTATAAATATAAAGTCATGTTTTTCGGATTTGTAAAAGTTAGATTATCGACAAAAATGTTATAAGCTTCCACTTTTGAGAGGCTAATCCTTTAAAATCCCAATGATAATTATGTGGGAGAGAGAAATGAGAGAGAGAGAGAGAGAGAGAGAGAGAAGGAAAGACAGATTGCAATCATTATCAAAATCGCTCCGTACAGTCATGGTTTTTCATTAAAAATAGGATAAGAATACCACCGAGTATGCACTGCGAGCACAAAGTCAGTTATGAATAAAAGTGGACTCAATTTGTAACTCTATCTATAGGGTTATCTGTTATAATGTTAGACGTGGTCATCCCATTTGCTTGACTCGGTCACTTCTCAAACTCCTATGAAGGTGTGTGTGTTTTCGGATTAAAAAGACAAAGCTTATCAACAAATTTGCTCTAAGATAGAGCTGTTTAGAGGTTCCTTGTGCTAATTACAATGTTCATAAACATTCTCACACTTTCATGATACCGATCTGAATCCGAGTGATTCCTCTTGTGTTGAATTATGCAATGTTTATTTTAATCTCTATGCTTTTTAGCACCTACTATAAATCTTCTCAATGCACTGGAAGTTGTTAAATACAACATTGGCGTCATAATTGCATTCTCTGTACGTCTTTCATTGGTATACATTGATAATATCTAAAATGGCTGTGCAAGAAATCAATGTGATTTATAGAGAAAAAAATAAACTATAATAGAAAGAAAAAGAGTTAAGAGAGACAGAGAGACAGAGACAGAGAAAGAAAGTGAGAGATATATATGGAGAGAGAGAGAGAGAGAGAGAAAGAGAGAGAGAGAGAGAGAGGGGGGAGGCACAGGAAGAGCAATGCAATATTCAGTGAACATTGTATTTCATTTTAGTTGTCAGCTAAGTGTAAAACTATTGTAAATTACGATATGCTGAAGTTATGGGAATTGGGAAATAAGCGAGAAGATGAATCGGGGTAATTATAATTATGTGATTTTTTTTTTGACAAGCAAAAGCGAGGCAACTGGCAATCAGTCATTCATCTACGACGCTACCAGTAGTCGAGCGCCATCTCTCGACTGCAGTTGCTATGACTACCCTAAGCTACTATCGCTCCAATCGAGTCCAAAGTCCGTAAAGTTATAAATGAACTTTGCAACTCTTAGCCCTCCAAAATATGATTCAGGATAATTTATGACCAACTATGATTATGATACTTATATACATTATCCATTAAAACAAACAGAGATATAACAGCTAGATAGGGGTGTAGAAATATCGGTCAACTTTTGTGTGGACGGTTTTTTGACAGGGTCTGGGCCTGGGGTAAATGCTTGCACCCGTTTCGGATTGTTTCGCACAGGTGTAGTAGGGGGTTGAGCATGAGAGCTGTTGCAGGTGCATTCATCTGCAGCAAAACTACGCCCGCACCAGTGTTGGCAGCTCTTGCGCAGATCATAAGCCCAGTCTTTGCAGTGCACGCACGCTTGTATTTACAACTGAGTGTTTGCCGAAGTCCTTAGACGAAGGCTCCTTAATCACTTTGAAAACAGATTAATTACAGATTAATTGCCAGATCTTTAGAATGACACAAGGACTTGGCGATCTCTCAGATCAGCTGAAAGTTTGATTGCCATGGAATGTAACATTTCCTGGCCAGCAGCGACCGAGGTGGATTTCGGCTTCATGTTTTTGGTGAGTGGATTTCTCATTGGTTTGGTTTGGGTTTCGTAGAAAGTAGTAGTCCCGTTAGATCATTTACAACATATATTAGACAAATATGATGAGATGATGTTGGAACGAGCATCTTGGAATGAAGAGGATTGAGAGGAAAGAAATCTAGATTTATGCGGATGTTATGTCTTATCATGAGATTGGATGTACTATTCTAATAATATTTGACGTTTGCGTTTGGGAAGATTACCAATGATTCTAAAGTGAAAGGTGTGACTTGCAAATATTGCTGTATGTAGCTGATGATGATGGTGGTGGTGGTGGTAATGATGATGGTGGTGGTGGTAGTAATGATGATGGTGGTGGTGGTAGTAATGATGGTGGTGGTGGTGGTAGTAATGATGGTGGTGGGTGTGATGATGATGGTGGTGGTGGTAGTAATGATGATGGTGGTAGTAATGATGATGGTGGTGGTGGTAGTAATGATGATGGTGGTGGGTGTGGTAATGATGGTGGTGGTGGTAGTAATGATGGTGGTGGGTGTGGTAATGATGATGGTGGTGGGTGTGGTAATGATGATGGTGGTGGTGGTAGTAATGATGATGGTGGTAGTAATGATGATGGTGGTGGTGGTAGTAATGATGATGGTGGTGGGTGTGGTAATGATGATGGTGGTGGTGGTAGTAATGATGATGGTGGTAGTAATGATGATGGTGGTGGTGGTAGTAATGATGATGGTGGTGGGTGTGGTAATGATGGTGGTGGTGGTAGTAATGATGGTGGTGGGTGTGGTAATGATGATGGTGGTGGTGGTAGTAATGATGATGGTGGTAGTAATGATGATGGTGGTGGTGGTAGTAATGATGATGGTGGTGGGTGTGGTAATGATGATGATGACCAATCATGATAGTAATGATTGTGTTATTATTTTTATTGATATCGTTATAATAATAATACAATAATAATGACGAGGATGATGATAAAAATGATAAGAATATTCATTGTCATCAGTTTTTTAAATTTTCAGCAATAGTCTGTTAGTCTTTTAGGAATATGACATTTTAAGAGGAATATTTGATCCCTTCTTCTTCTTCAAGATAATCTGCCTCCTTCAATACTGAAGATTCTTGCAGATGCCGTATACTCGGCCTGATTTGGATTTTGGGATGTGCAAGTGGACCATTACACCAGGGTTTTCCCCTACTCTTATACGAATAGTGCAATGGGTTCTTAACCTGCAAGGGTGGTGACTCTCCTGTACACGGGGCCTCCATTTGACGTCCTATCCGAGGGATGGAGTGTTTTCCACTTAACATAACCTGCGTCTATGAACAAGGGAAGGGGCACGTTAACACACAATGCAGACTCTCTATATGGACTTACAATTAGTCTGTTGACACGTTTCAAAGAGGAAAAAGAAGACTGTTATTTCGATTAATCAATCATTTTGATCAAAATGCTGAATGTGCATTGAATGTTTGTGGATTTTGCGAGAGCTTCATAGTTTCTTTTTTCTCTCATTTAGACAGTTTACTGAGAAATGTAACAACTCTAAAAAACGCATACGGAACGCAAAATTGCATAATGTTTTGAAATCATAATTTCAGCACATCATTAGGGAGGAATCAGGATATAGAGCTGGTAAATACAGGTACTTACTATCTCACGTTGGCTTCTAATTGTTACCTAATACCTATACTTTCATTAAGATATATGTAAAAACAGACCTTTGAATTACAAACATCACTAACTATTATGTCTTTTTCGTTCCAAACTTCTTTTCATGCCACTACATTTGCCAATTAGCTAGCTTACATATCGTGAATTTTCAAAATTTTATAATTTGAGTTTCTCTTGATTGTTTTTGTTCATTTTCAGTTGATGTCAGTGTAAAAAATGAAAGGCCATTCTGGCGATGTGATGACCTCCGACCCCAACAAGCAGAAATTTCCACTCATCACTGGAGCCAGTGGAGGGGCAACTCTTCCTTCCCTCCCAGATGACACCTTGTCCTCCCCCTCCAAGGAAATGGAATCTCTCTCCTCCAACAGCAAGGCTTCACTAGAGCTGCCCAGACTACTCCAACCCAGGGAGGAGTTGGCTCCCCCTTCTGGGAGGGACAATGATAAAGCGTTAAAACCCAGTCTTCCCCTGGTAAGTTTTTCCTTCACTTCAAGTACTAATAACCCCAGTCACACGAACGAGACTAATTCCGGATTAACAAAAGATTAACATTACCTCAAACGGCTAACAATCTGTCATTTTTTTAATATAGTCTCACCTTCCTGGTTTGACTGAGGTATGAATATCTAACGAGTGTGGGTCATTAGTCATTTTTAATATCCTGAAATATGGGCAGTGGGTTACCTGAATACGTCATTTCTGTAATTTTCACTACAAAAAAATGCAACTTTTTCTTGCCCATGGAAATTTTAGAATAAGAAAAGTTGAAATTTGGGTGAATTATGCGTCAGGCCCACTTGCAGAAATTTGCCCATACGCCCCTGATATTTCAGGTTTCACAAACCCAAGTTTGGCTTAAAATTGCCAAATTAATTGGATACATAATGAGCCCAAGTTTATGAGCTGAGCTCGAGAATAAATTTCAATGAAATAAAGAATTTTTTAAATTTATTTAAGTTTTTAGAATGTCAATAAAGATCTAAAATACAGATCAGAGAACAGGACACTGGTAAAGAAATGGGTTTAGGATTCTAATTTCTTAACCATACTAATACTTGTATCTATCCAGGTAATGATGGAAATCCAAGATAAAATAAGGCCATACATATAGAATCTGCTCATTGCAAACATAAAGAATGTAATGAAACTTGGATATTACGAGTTTAACCTTTAGGAATTATGTTTCTGTTTGCGGTATTTCTATGAACTACATGAAATATTGCTTTCCCTACGTTTAGTACGGCCCAAATGAAGTGAGCTGCCAGTTGCACTTTGAACAGGTAACAGTCATTTTGAAGGAAGCAGGGTGAAAAATATAGCAGTGCTTTACTCTATATGGAGTGGCGAGGTGTGACGTCATCCAAAAAATATATTTTAGAATTTCTCAATTTGAACTTCATTTTCCGAAGGAGCATCAAAAATAATGTCCAAATGTCAAAAACCAATTGAATATGTTAAGAATTGGCTGAGATATGACCATCTGAATAAATAGATTTCCTATAGTAACTCAGTGTTATTTTTCTCTTGTTCATAATGTTATGAACCAGAGCAAAATCTGTTTATTCAGATGGTCATATCTCAGCCAATTCTTCAATATTCAATTGGTTTTCGAGTCTTTCGACATTTGGACATTACTTTTCATGCTCTTTCGGAAAATGAAGTTCAAATTGAGAAATTCTAAAAATGGATTTGTATGATGTCACAGCTTTGGTACTCTATTTGCACTGAAAAATATGGTTGTGTGGTTATGATGGGCTACGTGTACCTTTGATGCTGTCAGTAAGTTCACCCGCCTCACTTTCTGGATATTTTAAGGTACACTTTCCTTGGTTTATCGGCTTCATTGGTACTTGGTCACTGTTCTTTCAAATAATGCAGTGTATTATTGCAAGGGTCTTGTTAGTAGTGGATATGACCTAGCTCATCTTACCCTTTGTTATTGTGCCTCTTACTTATGAATTTCTATGAGATGTGTGTTTAGAATTTCAAAGTTTCAGCATTTGAGGAAGATTGGAATATTATATACACTGCTCTGCAGAACTTTATTTTCTCTTTTGATTGTTACAGTTTATTTTTCTGTTTGTATGAAGTTATTGTTGAACATGGGGAGTCATCACCATAGCATGTTAACCCATTGCTTACTGGAAGCAAGTGGCTCCTGTATTAAAGCCTATGGGAATGTGAGGATTAAGTATTTAATGGGTTAATAGCGTTATGAAACTATTTTCAAGGTTACCTCTGTTTGGAAAATTTGCACTTCATTTGGGGCAGTTACAAGAACTTGGCTCTTCTCTTCGAGGAATAGGCCTACTGATTAAAATATGGATGAAATGTATGAAGATATCAGGATTTCTTTCAGTTCTGGGAGCTCCTGTTATTCTACTGAAAATATTGTTAAAGATCAAGATTAAATGTTTATTTTCCAGTATTTGAAATGTGGTGTATTGGTTTTATGAGGTATGAAGATTTTCTATATTAGTGCAAACCAAACAAAAAATTCTTTCCGGTTCTGTGATTATTCTTAATAATGATTTATTGCCATAAATTATGGTTTAATTATTGAACGGGACCAATGTTGACTAGCTTTGTCTTTTTTCTTTTTTTTTCATGCTCAAATACAATGTAGTAATGTACTGTGTATCTGAAAATTTGGTCATATATAACTGAATATATTTAAACGTAATTGTTTATTCATACTCTAAGGTGCGGAGATCTCGTTACAAGCGCTCTGGAACACCACCGGATCCTGACCGTGATCAACTGGCCAGTAGGTTTAATGTGAAAGACTCTCTTCCCTATCAGGCTTGTAATTTCAGGTAAGGATCATCTAACAAGTTAACCAGTGAAAAAAGAATAAAAAGGTTCATGAAAGCTGTGCGGGATTTAGCTCCTGAAACCTCCAAAGGAGATAAGAACAACTAGGCTGGTAGAAAATATTTATAAAAATGATTCTTATTAAATCCAATGTCAGTATAAATTTAAAAGCAAATCAGCCAAGAGCTCCCGTATAAAAAAAAACAGTGCTTACACCATTTTGTGCCCCTTTCATAAATTCAAATATCATCTAGTCCAGAGTAAATCTAGAGCTAGAACTGCTGTTGTGTTATACATCCAAATTCATGTTACATAATAATGTACCTTTCATACTTGGAGTGGTTAGAGCATCTCATACCACTTCCATATTCATGGTTGAGTTTGGAGTGACGAGTCTGGAGTGAGAACAAATGTGACTCAATACTCAAACAAGGAGAGTCTGCTTGACTGATATTGAGAGAGCGGACGGGAGGGAGGGACCGATTGAGACAGACAGAAAGAGAGAGGAAAAAAACTAATCAAACAAGATCATGCTCCCTATCATATCGTTGGCGTTATTATGAACAGATGAATCCGTCATATACATTACTGTACAGATTTGTCTGTTCAAAATAACGCCAACGATAATATAGCTGTCTGCCTGTCTCATTGACAATGTATGTGTAGCTTCAGGGTTAGACAGAGATCAAGCTATACCTTTGGGTAGTGAAAATAATTGAACATTATCATGCCAGAAATTACAGAAATGTTTTTTGGCTAATCTGAATGCTATAAAAATCAATTAAAAATCAGTTAAAAGGGTCCAAAATGTCTATGGTGTGTTTTCACACTGACTACCCTTCCCTTCTGATACGTTGGCCTTCCGGCAAATGAAGATGTTACATTTAAAATCAGTCTGAAAACTTGTTCAAATATGCCACATCTTAGGAGCAAGGTGTTAAAGTGACTAGGATTGTTAGGACAGCTTTAAAACCGTCTCCCACGGTGACTGGACAGCTCGGAAGAGAAGAGTCCAAGATTAATGTTAATACACTCCTTAACAAACAGAAACCTGTATTAGCATTCTGTTCTTACGCCTTACACATTTTTAGGGCTATGTTTAGTTTCACTCTCAATGGCCTTGTGTCAAACCAACACTATAAGATCATTTACTTTACACTGCAAGCTGAAACCCTGGGCTTTTGTCATTATCTAGAGTTTCATCATTTTATCGCAAGTTGCTAGGGAACTACCTATTAACACTATTTAAAAACCAACCTCTCGGGGTGTGTGTATTTTAAAATGTAGCCAAAACTCAACTGCATGCTTTTTGCAGTATATTCATATTCATATTTATTTCATTTCCAACAGAAAGATAAACAGAGATATTACATTTTATTTCATACATAATTAATTTTTTCAAGAAACTATACAAATAAACTTTGCACATTATAAAATTATTACAAGAAATTCTTAATTTCTGAAGAAATGGGGGGGGGGGGGGGGAATCCACTAAAAAGCAGTGCTTGTAGTTTGTGGTTCCTCCAGTATAAATGCATGTTCTCAAAACAAAAGTGAATTGTCCACTCTTTGGTTATGTGAATCTTCCATGCGCACTATTAACGAAAACACCTGAATTTTAAAATTAAATTTGAATGAAATTATTTCCACAAAACATGAAATAAAAGTTTACAAAATGATACATGTACAATCAAATGAAGTGGAGGGGATAAAGAACAAATACTTAACTAGGTCATCCCCTCAAACAACTGATGTACATGTTATAGCAAACACTGATAATTATTTACAGGTTCATCCAGTATATATATGTTTTTTTGTTTTTTGGGGGCCATTTAAATGGCCCTTCAATATATCCTGTATCTACTTCATTCTCTGGCATTTTGATATTGACTCATACCTGGTGTCCACTATTCAGACCTATTCATTACAATGGATTGTAAACATGGCATCAATTCATTTGTTTGGGTATTACATAACGACCTCACCTGCTACTTAGGTACTTGTAATTAATAAGTAGTCTTTGCTTTCAGGCCTTGATTCATATGAGGATATATTCCACTTTCTTCTTTTCTTTAGTAATATTGAATTCACCAATCATGGATTGTTGAAAAGATTATTATTTGCTTTCAAACGTAAAAATTTGATAATTCCAGTAGATTTGTTATCAATATTCGATTCCAGTTTGTTGTTTTGGCCTGAATATTCTCTGCCTATAGTACTTTTGTATGACAGTATGTTAGATCAAGATTAGATCATGAAACATTTAATTAAAAATAAAATCAGTATAAACCTCTATCAAACAGGGTAAAATCAATTTTGGTTAGAAGTAAACTAAATACACTGGGATATAAACCTTTCATGAATGATATATTGTGGAGGACTGTTTGTTTTTATGGTCTGAACTACTAGACTATGTGAGGCCAGTACTTTCCAGAAAAATCAATGATTTTCTTAGAGTTGCCTATGCTGTTGAGCAGACTTTGAAAGAAGGAACCTGTTTAACCTAGCTTGTTTAGGCAAGCAGTGTAACAAGTTCTTTGAAGTGTTTCTGTAGCTTTTTGTTGTTTCCTTCAATTCATTTGTATGCCTATTGTTGCGTTTATATTCATAAAGCAAATTTGGAGAGAAGCCAGTTTGTAATACACATGCATTCATAAAAGTTTATTCAACCCATTTATATGCATGCAAGCACATTTTCAAATATATCTTGAGACTATTGCATGGAAAAGGTCAATTCAATACATACAGTATGCCTTTACCTGCTACTAGCTGCTCTGTCCGTTAGAAATATCTATGAACGTTTAAAAAATAATGATACAAATTTTGTTTTATTAATTCCACATAGGGGTGGATTACCCTTTCAACTTTAGTTAGTTTTCAAAGGGCTCCACACACATTTGAAACAGTTACAAATCATGTCAACAAACGAGCACAGAAATAAACAATTAAATACATGAAATATACAAGAAAAATCAGTAGGGGTACATTCCGTCCCTATTTTCACGAAGTGACGGTAGTGAGGAAAATCATCAGGCAAAGTGAATGCAATTTTTGTTCACTACCGTCACTTTGTGAAAACAGCGACGATGTGGTTAATAATATGTTTTTCAGTCAAGGTAGATAATATACTTCTTAAATTGTTGAGCTGTGAGTGTTTCTTTGAAACATTGGTAGTAAACCTATGGTTAACATGATTAAAGTAGCTTTATAGCGAAATGTATTGATATGAAAAAAGAAGTATCCGGAACATAAATACGACATATTTGGTGATGTTTGTGAATTCACAAAATATTTATTGAAAACAAATCTCATTCATAATAATAACAGTACATGATAATAATAATAGTAATAATAACATGTTCGTATAGACATAGAATATATATAATACAAAATATAGTGTAATTATTAACTCATCAGCAATACAAAAAAAGTTAACAAAATATCTGCCATTTCTTATCATGAAGATCGAGACGATTTTTCTTGAAAGCAATTATACGTTCCATATTTTCTAAATGTTTGAGAACTCGTTGAAAAAAAGGAAATAGTGGAATAACGTTTTGCATTTTACAAGTGAAAATAAAAAAATTTGCAAAAATAACAACTGTATTGACGAAATAAAAATTATTGATTATAAGAGTACGATATATATAGGATTTTATTGAAATCAAAACATCAAAAACCAAGAGCAAACAGTCCAAAGACTGACAACTGTCTTGGGTACAAAAATATAATTTAAATCAAATATACATAATAAAATAGTAGTAATGAATAAATACATAAGTTACATAAGTTAAAATATCAAATAACTAAACTATTATCAATAAATATTGCAAAAAGGACATATAAACAATAAGTGTACATCATTACAATTACGTCAAAAGAGGGCTCTCGAGCTGTGCAAAATCTAAATCAGGTACAGACCGAGAGTCCAATAAAAGAAAATTAAAATGCATAAGACTGGGTTTAAAAAAGATCAATAGTGAAAAGAGGGGAATATGTCAGCTAAAGAATAATTTTTTAAATTTAAAGTATTGAGAAGGTACAAGTAACATACAATAAAGAAATTCCCAAGAGAGCATAGTAAGAGAATAGAGTAAGATAGAGGAAGAGAGAGGGAGAAAATAAGAAAGGAGAGGAGAGAGGGAGAGAGAGAGAGAAAGAGAGAAGGAAGAGGATAGGAAGAAAGTTAGGGAAATATCAATACCATCTGTAGAATTTGTAAAAAACAGTCCAGGTATTCAACATTGTAGACATCATTGCAATTAACCCGAAATACATGAAACATACAATAAAGAAATTCCCAAGAGAGCATAGAGAGAGAAAAGAGTAAGATAGGGGAGAGAGGGAAGAAAAGAAAAGGAGAAAGAGGGAGAGAGAGAGAGAGAGAGAGAAAGAGAGAGAGAGAGAGAGATAGAGAAGGAAGGGGATAGGAAGAGAGTTAGGGAAATATCAATACCAACTGTAGACTCTGTAAAAACAGCCCAAGTATCCAAGCATTATAGGCATTGTAATTAATCTGAGATACATGTAACATACAATCTGTAGAATCTGTAAAAACAGTCCAGGTATTCAACATTGTAGACATCATTGCAATTAACCCGAAATACATGAAACATACAATAAAGAAATTCCCAAGAGAGCATAGAAAGAGAAGAGAGTAAAAACAGATGGAGAGAAATAGGAAAAGAGAAAGGGGGAGAGAGAGAGAGAGGAGAGAGAGAGAGAGAAGGAGATAGGAAGAAAGTTAGGGAAATATCAATAAAATCTGTAGACTCTGTAAAATGAGAAAGTATCTAAACATTGTAGACAATAGACATTATTGCAAGAATTATGAAATACATGTACATAAAGGAAAAAGAAACATGTGTAATCTACCAAAGAAGAATGGAAGAAGAAGGAGGAGGAAAAGAGAAGAATTTGAGAAAGAGAGGGGAAAACATCAGAAAGGAAATTAGAAATTGGTAGATTTACACAAGTTTCATCATGTTGATTACCTTCACTG